ATATTAAGAAGCTACCTACTTGAGAATTAAAGATTGTGCTGCAGATTCGCATAGTGTTTAACAATTAATAGCTACTTCAGAGCTTAAGGCTAGAGTCATAAAATGATGGCCATAACTTCCAAGGCCTTCCTAGGCCGCTTACAATACACAAAACATTAACAAAGTAAAACACATTAAAACCAATTAAAACACAATGAAATAAAACATCTGTAAAAGAAATATAAAAAGGGCCACAGCATTCAGGCTAAGTTCCTAAATCGGTATGTCTTTGCCTGGTGCCAAAAGGAAAATAAAGGTGGTGCCAGGTGAATTTCCCTAGGGAGGGAGTTCCAAAGATGGGGAGCAGCAGCAGAAAAGGCCCTTCGCCTAGTTGCCACCCTCTCATCTCCCTGAGGGGTGGTTCTTGTAATGCTGAAATGTGATATATCAGCACAAGTTCTAGAAGCTGGGGTCAGTTACAAATGTCACCCGAAGTGAAAGGAAATGGTAATCATCATATCAGATCAGCTTCATTTTCAATCCATAGAAGTTCAGAAGCCATAAACCGACTACAAGAAGTATTAGCCTCTTTCCAAGTATCAAAACAGCTTAAGAAATAGAAACAGTGCCTGTTCCAGCAGTGCCATTTAATCACATCTGGGCAGAAGGAATTGAATTGTTGTATTGCTTCAAAGGTCTATCTTTGACCTATATCATGTTGAATCACAGATTAAGGTGTATTTATGTTGATAGAATACTGCTGTCAGAATAGTCCCTACTGCTGAAAGTACTTTATTCATAGTGGTTTGGAGCTGCATTTTACTACTTGATCTAGGAAATCTAACTGCTGTTTCAGCTGTGTTGGTAGAAAGAGACTGTGAGAATGGTTTAGGAGAATAGATAACTACTCTATCTTTCTAGGTAGAATTTGCTTGCCAGGCCACAGGGACCCTGATAAGCAGGCACCAAAACAGGATGAAGAATAGTAAATCAAATCCTGTTATATCTACTCTCAGGGCACAAGAAATAGCAAAAGGTTAAAAAATTGCCAAATGCAGCAGCGGCCTATATCAATAGTAGCTCATCTGAGAGCCAGTGTGGTGTAGTGGTTAAGAGCATGGAACTGGGACTCAGGCGACCTGGGTTCTAGTCCCCGCTCAGCCATGGAGCCAACTGGGTGACTTTGGGCCAGTCACAGACTCTCAGCCCAACCTACTTCACAGGGTTGTTGTTGTGGAGATAAGATGGAGGAGGAGAATGATGTAAGCTGTCTTGAGCCCTTTGTAGGAAAAAGGCAGGATATAAATCAATCAATCAATCAATCTCAGCATCTCTCCTGTTGTGATTTTATCAGAATTGGCAATTGTACACAGAAGTGTATTTATTTATTGTGAAGTAATTGCAATAACTATCACCTAAAATTCTAGGATCATAACGAAGCTGAACAGATTCAAAGGGTAACTTGAGGGAAGGACACAGTAATTATGGGAGATTTCAATCTCCCAGGTATTACTTGGGAGTTTCACTCGGTGGCAACAGCCAGGTCATGTTGCTTTCTAGATGCTCTAGAGGGAGGGTTTTTCATGCAGAGGGTCTGGGAGGTGACGGGGGCGGGGGGGGGGAATATTCTTGACTTGGTTTTGACCAACAAGGAGTTGCTGATAGATGGGGTGCAGATTAGGGGAGCTCTGGATGCGAGCTATCACTCCATCTTTGAGATCAGGGGAATATGGATGAGTGGCAGGTCAAGTATTAGAAGCTGAGACTTTACAAGGGCCAACTTTGGTCAATTGAAGACCAAACTGGGGAAAGTCTCCTGGGAGAGGGTGATGGAAAACAAGGGAGTTGAAGAAGGGTGGATGGCACTAAAAAGGAAGGTCTTGGATGTGCAAGACTTGATGATTCCTCTAGTTAGCAAGGCGGAAAGGTGAAGGAGAGTGCCCCCACAGATGAGAAGAGAATTGGTAAGAAGCATTGGGCATAAGAGGAACCTCCGTAGGAAATGGATACTGGGGCAAACAGACAAAAGGGTATACTGGGAGGAGGAGGCTCGTTGCAGAAAGATTCTTCGCAAGGCTAAGGTTGATTATGAGCTGAGACTTGCAAAAAATATCAGGAGCAACAAAAAGGGCTTCTACCAACATGTAAATAGCAAGAGGAAGGGGAGATAGGCGGGGGACTGCTTAATAAAGAGGAAGGGGATTTGGTGACTGATGTGAGGGGACAGGCACAGATGCTAAATAACTATTTTGCCTCTGTGTTCTCTCAAAAGCAGAATGGGGGAGGTCCGCATGGGGGCACAGATGAAGCTGAGGATTTAGGGGCACAGATTAGAAGTTGAAGAGCTCCTCAGGGCACTGGATGTTACGAGGGCACCACTATATAACTATATTAGAAGGAAAGTCCGAATAGAAAGAAACGTGTTGGTTATTTGTGGAGATTGTACTGCTTTATTTCTTGCCTTTCTTCCTGGGAATTCAGTCCCAGGTGATTTCCCATTGTGGTACTGGCCTGATTAGTTCTGTGGCAAGGGTGCTGCTTGCATCATGCACCTTTAAGATCATGATCTGGAAAGCTTCATTGACAGTTGTCTAATACTAAGCCCAAGTACAGATATGAAGACGGTCTTCTGTTCTCAAACTGGGTTATTGCTTGTAGAATTCCAAAATGCCAGCTTCATTTCCTCACTCTCTCTTCTTTGTGAATACAATGGCCCTTCTAGTTTTTAAATCAAGGAAATGTTTGTTGCCAAATGGTTACACATGCTATAAATGCTTGTTGTTGCTAGCTGCGAAGTAGCATCCGACCCATCACAACCCCATGGACAACATTTCTCCAGGCCTTCCTGTTCTCCACCATCTCCCGGAGTCCACTTAAGCTCACACCAGTGACTCCATCTAGCCACCTCATCCTCTGCCATCCCCTTCTTCTTTTGCAGTCAATTGTTCCCAGCATTATGGTCTTCTCCAGGGAGTCCTTCCTTCTCATTAGGTGGCCAAAGTATTTGAATTTCATCTTCAGTATCTGGCCTTCTAAAGAGCAGTCAGGGTTGATCTTGTCTAAATGCTAGTCAAAGACATATTATCAGTAACAAAAGATTTCTGATTTTTTATAACCAATAAAATTTACTCTTACCCCTTGAAATAAAGCCCAGTCAGATCCAAAGCAGTAAATTTCTCACTGTACACTGAACTGACATGGACAAGAAAGGAGTCCCATGTGCTCTGCAGATTGTGGGAGATCACTAAATGTTCAGTCTTCCTTCAGTTTTAATGTAATCAAACTTGGCTGCACCACTAATTTGCCACAAGAATTTTGAGATTTCAGGTTCCTCCATCTAAAGCGTTAGGTGACATTTTATTACATGGTCTCTTGCAAATTGTTCTTCCAGGGCCCACCCCTGCACACTTGCTAGTAAAGGATTTCCATGTAACCTTATAGGAATCTTTATATGACAGGATCCCCTTGAGTTCCCTTTCCCCTGGATTCTCTCTCTTCCCCTGCCCCCACTATTCATATACATCTCTTTCTCCTCCAACATTTGCACACACATGATCATTGTCCCTGCCCTTTCTTGGTGTAGTCTGTACATACAGAAGGTTCACTATTTTTTCTTCTTTTAACAAAACAATCATATTATCTCTGGGAGGATGTCCAGGGAACAACAGAATATGGAAGATCTCCCCTCCTGAGTTCATATGCAATCCTAGGACTGGGAGGGGAAGATAAGATTGGATTGTTTCCCCTCTACCCTTCTTCCCTTTGCAGCTGCCACAAAAAGCTCCAACACAGTAGTTCTTTCAAAGTAGCAACACCAAGGTCACAAGTTTTCAGAGAAAGAAAAAAAGGGAGTGGGATGGAAGAAGGGAGAGAGGAGAGAAGTGTAGGATACACAAGATCTTAAAGCTTCTCCATCACTATCCTATTCATAATAAAGTACATCAGCTAAAAGAGGAAGAATGGGAGGTGATTTTGCCTCCATTCTCCCCATACCATGTTGGGCTTTTTCTAGCAGGGCAGACACAGAGAGATTTAATCACTGGGCTTTTTACTGAGCAGCAATTCATTGTGCAAATTCCCCCTTTTATTCAGAAGATAATATTATACTGAGCAACTGCACTACAAATGTACTTTGTTCCTCCTACTTCCTCTCTTCCAGGGAAACCTTCAACAGTTGACAATGTAATTACTATTTTATTATATTTTCTTTTTGAAACTTAATTTCTGAAAAGTTCTGACCTAATCTGTTTTGCTCCCTTGGACACCATATAGACACTCTTCTACCTTAATTAAATGATTACAGTTGTAAGTACTTACAGTTGTTAAGTACTTAGTTTGTGTTTTGGTTAGAGTGTAGTTTATGGGCTAGTTCTACTGGGCAAACAGCAGTCTATCCTCCAGCAGAGTAGAGTCAGGATTTCAGGTTTCCCTAACACAAGGATTGGAAGAGTCAGGCTTACAAGATCTGCTTTTGTATGGGGGTAGGGAGAGAGATTGGTTCAAAACACATATACTTGAAGACTGCTGAGCCAAGGAATTTGTTTTGAATACCAGAACTGAGCAGAGCTCATAGCCCTTCTGCACAAGATCTAAACCTTCTTTATTTCAGCATTACAATTGGGGTGGGGTCATTCTCTTGCTACCATTGTGAAACACTTGCAGAAATGTGTAAGATACGTTTCTTGAATGAGGTGGTAAAACTGGAACAAAATGAAAGCTAAGGTGGAACTTGTACAGAAAAGCACTGGGGTTCTGGGATCTATACCATCACAGCCCCATATCTTTAAAGCTTCTTGATAAGCAAGTATATAAAGACAAAAACAAAACAAAGCTCATCTATTCCAGAGAACTGTGAACAAACCTAACCATTTTTCATAGCAAAAATTCAAGGGGGGTCCAGAAATTACTATAAATAGTCAGACAATCTGGTCCAATTCAGCAAAACCAAACAGTCACTTCTTATTTCATTAGAAAGGGTTTTAAAGATGATAAAAGTTCTAGTCTCTTAATCAGATACTTACATAATCATCATGATTGATTCCTTGTTTCTGAACAGAACTTTTCACCTCCATGGCAAACTTTTCAAACTCAGGTTTCACTGTCCTTAGTAGTGTGACTGTCTGGAGAGATGAGTATGCTTGCTTTGCTTCAAGGTCATATTTGTCTCCTCTCTTCCATGAGCCATTTCCTAAGGGAGCAATAAAAATATTTACAATTCCAAGCAAGTTACCATAAAGAACTCATTTTCCCCTTTCCCGCTGCTGTATTCCCTATGTGTTGCTGGGGGTAGCCAAAAATATGAAACATGTTGTCCTCCTAATTCAGTTTGAGTACTCTAGGAGCACACCCAAATTTAACCACTTTCAAGCTCCACAGATTTCAATGTAAGTTCTAAAACAGCTCTCTCCCATTGAAGTTCATAAAAATGCTTAACTGTACTCTATGTGATTAATTAATATGGTTTTTAAAAAGGTCATATATTGTATTACAAAGAAGGAAGTACAACATTTCAGAGAGTAAGGTTTCTGACAAAAGCCTGAAATTCTTTTCAGGAAGTTATGGACAAAAAATAAAATGAAATATATGTTTTTCTTGAGACCAAAAAATAGATTCTACCAAGGGCAGTAAGCAGTAACATTATGACCTGGTGGTAGTGCCCTATTTCTAAATATGTTGTAATTTCCTCCCTAGAGGTCTGAAATTTGCACTCATCCATGAGAAGAAAAGAAAAAAAAGAGAGAGAGAGAAAACAGAAAAAGAAAGAGAAAACTAATCCAACCTGGTGAGATATTATGCACAATTCCTATAGTGCGATGGGATCATAAAAAGGCTGTCCTGATCCAAAGACATTAGTAGCTGGGTATTAGTAGAAAATCAATAGTGAAAAGATTAGGTGGAAGATAGATCACAAACTACTGGGATTTTTCTTTGTGTTTGAAATGTTATAGGAATATGTAAATATTAAAAGTCAAACTCTTTGTTTTATTTCTTTAGACATAAAAAGTCATATTTATAAATAAAAAGGTTCAAATGGAGGAAAAAATTCACAGATGCAGTTGTTAATACAGTTATTAAACAACACAGAAACATGGTGGTGTTAGGATGGAAACCAGGTGCCTACACTTCCTGGCTATGGATCACCCCAGAGCAGTTCTCATGCAAGGTCAGGCCAGGGCTAGCCAGATAGCAAGTAAGAAAGAACCACTGCTCAGTCCATGCAAAAGGTCCCAGGGTCAGTCCCTAGCATATCCAGGTAGGACTAGGGAAGACCTGAATCCCTGGAGAGCTGCTGCCATTCATTTTAAGTTTAAAGATTTTAAGAGGAAATTGGAAAGTATAATAATGGTCCCTCAAGCGGTTTGAAGTCACTTGTTAGCATATACATAGTAGATTAGCACATTTGCCTTTTTGTTGGTGCTGTTTCCCAGTTGTTACATTGTGAGAACTATATTAGATTACTGCAGTTCAACAGGTGTAGTTAGTGCATAGTGTGGCAGCCAGAATGCTTTCAGGTGTCTGCTCTGATAGCCCAAACCAAGGGTCTCAAACTCAACTTACCTGGGGGCTGTTGGGAGTCTGGGTGAGGCTGGGTCGCATCAAGTATTCCACCACCGCGGTGGTGGTGGGCCGCTCATCCCGCGACCGGCCTGGGCACCACCGGTGCTTTGAAGGCCGCAGGGCCCCTCCCCCGTGCCCCGCCTGTCCTGGCAATTGGCCCGCGGGCCGCGAGTCTGAGACCCCTGGCCCAAACTGTGGCTTCCAGAACTCTATGCATATGTTTGTCCCTAACTTCATAGGGCGAAAGATTACCCCATGGCCCCTTCCCAACTCCAAATCTGGAACTCAGATGGGGTGATCTTCATAACTGCACTGTACTTCTGAGCACAATCCATGGGGATGGTCTCTATCAGGTTCAAACTGGAGAGGTAAGACGGACTGTTTTTTTATAGTGAAGTCTCATAATATATGGTATACAAATGTTCTAATTAAGTAAATGAATGTATAGTAAAATGCAAGTGCAACACTGTTGAAAATGTGGTCCATCCAATCTCAGATTGGTGGCTTCTAACTACAGGAATGTGTATGAATACTGGAACTTCAAATTTTATGGCTAGTGTTGCAACTACTGAACAATAATTGCTTCTGTTTCAGGCTTCCACCCTGTGTGGGTCACTAGTGATCCTATTTAAGTCTGTACTTTCAGTCACCTAATAAATAAGTATGCTACTCTAAAGACTGTATAACAACCCACATCCAATATGGAAAGTGCACACACAATGTGTGAAAAGGCTGATGTTGCTAATGCCTTATTCTTGTACAAAGAAAAAGAACTTTTTGGTCATTTTGGGCTGTGATTCATTATCCAGTTAAACTGAAAAACATTAGCTGACTTAGTCCAAGTTGCCTGCTTGGAATAACTTTGAATGAATCCAAGCACTGAAGTCAAGCCTTGGAAACTGTATATTAAATTAACATGTTAGAGCCACAAACCACACACACTTGCTCAGCTGGCAGTCTCCCCTGCATCTAAATGTGCTAGCCCAAGGAATCCCTGAGTGAGGAAGTTCAGTATTTCAGCTACGGTTGATCTGTTATCTGTCTAAATCTCATCTCAGACATGTTGACATGGAGTTTCTTAGCAGGGAGGCTCAGTATTTTGGGTACAGCTTAATCTGTTTTCATTCTAAACCCCAACTTAAACTGTACCCTGGTGCCAGTGCACTAACAGAAGTTTGCTGACAAAAGGTAAGGCTAGTAAAAATGTTAAAATCTTCTAACCGTGTTTTCATGACACATGCTGTTCATGTCATATGGTGCAAGGTCACCATAATAACAAGTACAGCCCAAATCGGGAAAGTGCTAATACAATTGAAAGAATTGTTAAACTGACCCAAGGCCAGTATATATTAATATAGAATATTAGCAATGCTGCAATCCCATGCCGAATTACCTGGCTAAAAACCCACTGAATTCAATGGAATTTACTTCAGAATGTATAGGATTGCAGTGGAAGCTATCGTGTATTTGTCAGTTTTTGCACTTTAGGAGTAGTGTTATGTTCAAATGCTGCACCAACATTCACTAGTGTGTGGATCAAATTGCCCATATGGTAGCTCAGTTATCCCACTTCTTTCATTATAACAACTGAAGTAATTGCGTTAAACATGGGAAACTCATGTTCAGCTCCATGATGACTTGCTATGAAGCTCACTGGGTGGTCTCAGACAAGTTACTATCTCTTGAGAAATAGTATTTTGTCTAAATGCTCTCCAGCAGGGTTTCTGTGGGCATAGAAAACTGTTCATCTCTTTAGAAGAAAAATGAGAAACAAACTTAACATGTGCATATATAAAATTACTTGCTAATTACCATTATTTTCAGTTGCTTTTCTCTTAATTTCATAAACCCAGTAGACATTATTTTTAATAGTGAGGAGTAGCAATGGCTGTTATGGCCCACTTAAAAATGAAAACAATCTCTAAATCGTTATTGCATTTTTAATAGTTTTGTAACCCACCAGAGGAAAGAAACCACATTACCATATGATGAACTGTTGAAGAGTTCAATATTGAAGAAAGCATAGTCTCCATTGGTCATCCCTTGCCGATGTGCAGCCAACATGATATTCCTTATTGCGTCACTGCTGGCACACATGATCACAACTAGTAGAAATAAATGGAAAAATACAGATAAGCTTTCCTCAAACTGCTGGGAACATATTGTCAAGCTTACGCACAGCTGGAGATAATGATATAAACTGTCCTCCAGTTGTTTTTTAAACCATGGATATGTAAGACCATCAGGAAGGTTAGAAAAGAAAATATAGTAACTGAAGGGGCAAATTTTCACTTTCTGGTTCCTTTGCAACTATTATCCCCAATGCTAAATTATTGACATGGCAATTAATCAGTAAATCTGCATTGTATATAAGAAGAACTTGAACCTTGTTGCAGAGATTTTGCTCACATGGTACAGTCACGGGAGTTCATATTAATCATTCATATGTTGCACTATTTCCTACAATGAAATACCATAAAAAGGATAAAACTGTTCAAAACTTAGGTGAATCAAACCAAAGTTAAGCACATTTAAGTGCTCTTGATTTTAATTTAAGCCTTTTATATGTAATAAATTATTTCCTATGCAAAACATTCAAAAGTGCTTAACTTTGTTTGAATATCCCCATTACCTTTTACAATGTGTAGAAAAGGGCTCGTTCTGTGATTATTGAATGTTTACGATACAATCCTATATGTCTACTCATAAGTAAGGCCCATTGATTTCAATCAGGCTTACTTCCAACTAAGTGGGCATAGGACTGCAGTGCTCTTTTATGAATACAAAACCAAAAAATGAGTCAGCAGTGTGACTCGGTGGTCAAGAGGGTGAATGCCATCCTTGGTTGCATAGCCAGAAGTGTGGCTTCCAGATTGAGAGAGGTATTAACTGCCATTCTATGGTGTGTTGAGTTCCGGGCTCCACATCACAGGAAGGATATAGCCATGCTGGAATTGGTACAGTGTAGGGCCACAAGGATGGTGGCCAGATTGCAGGGAAAGCAGTATGAGGCAAGACTGAAGGGAGCTGGGTCTTTTCAGCCTGGAGAAAAGGAGACTCCAAGAAGATCTGTTGGTGACATATGGGCATGTGAGGCAGTGCCACATGGAGGTGGGTAGAGACCTGTTTTCCCCTGTAGAGCTGGGCAGGAAGCATTCCAATGGAGCAAAGCTCAGGAACCAAGAGATAGGGTGCATGCCAGGAAGTACTTCCTGACAGTTAGGATCCCAAGGGAATGGAAAGGGCTTCCATGGGAGGTGGTTAAAGCCTTATTGGTGGGAATGTTCATGGATAGGCTGGACATGGACATGGTAGGCATGATAGGCTGGCTGGAACAGGGAGTCAGACTAGATGGCCCAGAAGGACCCTTCTGATTTGCTCTGTTTTTATGTTTCTATGTTTGTAAATCTCTGGATTGTTTTTGGCTCCCCATTAATTTAGCTTTAATTCTTGACCCTTTAGTTTTTCAACAGTATGCAAGCACATTTCAACTCATATAAAAGGAGTTTACCTTTCTCCCCTATCCTACACCCCAGTCTGCTCCAGAGGGTTCTCCAACCTTCTGGAAAAGATTTGGGATGTGTTGAGTCTTGCAGGGAAGAGGAAACACTGAAATTGTCAATGGTGACCATTCCATGGGATATAACTCCATGACATTAAAATGTTAAGGAACAACAGTTACAACAACAATCACTAGCGACAAATCTTGTAAGGCATTATTACATTATTAATGAGCTAATAATAATTTGAGTTAAATTTTTAAATTAAATTTCTAATTAAAATTTAATTAAAATTTTAAATTAAATTTCTAATTAAAATTAAATCTAATTTAATTTAAATTAAATTTTTACTGGATTTAAGTCAGTGGACTGGAGCACTCTGTAATCTAAAACATCCAATATGATAAAGAAAAATATGTCAGATTATGTGTCAATCTTTCTGTTTTCACCAGAAATGATTACAGCAGTTAATCTGTAATGTGGTGTAGTGGTTAAGGGCATGGGACTGGGACTCAGGCGATCTGGGTTCTAGTCCCCGCTCAGCCATGGAGCCAACTGGGTGACTTTGGGCCAGTCACAGACTCTCAGCCCAACCTACCTCACAGGGTTGTTGTTGTTGTGGGGATAAGATGGAGGAGGAGATGTAAGCTGCCTTGAGCCCTTAGGCTGCTCAAAAGGCAGGATATATCCTGCTCAAAAGGCAGGATATAAATCGAAAAATAAATAAATAAAATAATCTCTAAAGTAACCCTAAAATAGTAACATGCAGAATAGAACTGTCAAATGAAATTATAAGAATTAGTATTGTGATTTATATATCAATGAAGTTAGTCATAAATAAATAATACAAATGATCTACACAGGAACAAATTGATTTGAGCCCCAAACAGTATTCAAATTACAAAATCTGTAATCCAAACTGTAATCTGTAGAATAGCTACTACAGTGCTGAAAGATAAAGTCAGAAAGTTTAGCATCAACAGATAATTAGGTAAAGCAAGGGACATAGTCGAGTGGCAAGCTGATACATGGCTGGACAGTAAGCACAGGCTTCCTGCTAACACCTGGGTCTTCATTTTGAATTCAGAGTTACTGTAATCAGATTGAATGCCAGCCCCAAGTACCAAGCTTCACTGGGCCATCTTCCCCAAGTCATCCAACAATTGTCAAGTTGACAGCTGCAGTACCCTATCCTTGCCAGATGCAGTGCTGTCACCAAAACATAGCTAACAGGATTATAGACTTGGAGCACCCCTTGTAGCCCATGCACTGATCAGTGCGGGTCAACAATTCCCTCTTCTGAAAAACTACCAACGCAGTAGAGAATGGCAGTAGAGAATGGCATTCGTAAACTTGCTAACAATTCAACTCATGTCCAACATATGTGTCTACCCAATTAACTAAAGTAGGCTATAGTCCCATCCAGAACTGGTTCAACTTTTGTTCCAGATTAGAAGTTCCAAATGTTTCAATTAGGGTTGACTGAATGCCTTATGCCTGAAAGGTGACATATAACTGTAATGAATATATTGAAATGTATATATAATCTGACATGTTCTGTCTTCAGGAAACTATAATAATTGTCAAATAGATTGTTCTATTCCATTGTTGAGTCCCTATTTTAAGAAGCTGAAAGTTACCCTGAAGGTGACCCTTTGCTTCATTGGACAAGTATAGAAAATGAACATAATGTTATTTTCAGTGATGTAGAAGGAAATGCTCATTGCTTTTGATACCTTTAACAGTTACAACTTCTACTATTCATCAAGTAACTTCCTCCCCTTTCTCAACAATAAGACAAACATCTCTTACTATAGTTATATGATCTATCTTACTGCTTCCAAATCATTTTTCCTATTTGATTTGCCCTGTTTTCTGCACTGTTATCAATTGAATGATTACACTGTTGTGAGCCTGGAGAATTGGACAGGAGATAATTAAAATATATAAATTAAATATATAGCCCAGCACATACTTGGTTAAGTAAATAACAGGCAATATGTTGCCATGGGAACATATGGTTAGCCAACTGCTTATGGCTACAGAATTTCCTATATCATTTGGAGAATGCTCTGAATAAGAAGAAATAATCAGAGAATGAAAAACACCTTTGTCTGTCCACTCTCTGCTATGAAAGTTGTAGTTTTAAGTCTGTGTGCACAAGCAAATAAAAAGAAGATAGCAGTTTGAATGTTGAGTCAAAAAGGGAGAAAACTGGGTTTTTGGAGTATAAGCTAACAGCATTGCAGGGTGCTGACTACCACGTGAGATCCGATGTAGAATCAACCGACTTCAAGTGTTTTAGCTATGCATCCATCTATATTCAACCTCTTTATCTGTAAACTAATCGAAGAATCACAGAACACTTCAAAAGAATCACAGAACCTACTTCAAAAGAATCCATGCTTAGAAAAATGCTGTGCGCCTAAATCTTATCTCTGCTGACAGAAACCGGTCAACATAATCTATATGTACTGTTTATTATGCTAAGTGTTCTGTGTTAAATGTGCTTGCAAATCCTTATACCAACTCCTAAGACTTCAAGGAACAACCACAGAAATAGCCAACAAGGCAACTGAGACCATGTGGTAGCCAAGTAAATTTCCGTCTGAGCTCAAACAGGAATAACGGTATGAACTATATCTTTATGACAATGGGCTACAGAAAAGAAATAGCTGCATACTAAAAACTTTGGGAATAAGCCACTACTGAAAATCTTGTTTCATTTATAAGCAGACTTACTGTCTATCTAAGAACCTGGTCAGAAGGCAGGACCTAAGATGCAAAGCCCAATCCTCACTTTTTAAAATGTCTTGCAAGTAAGATCTGTTGCTACTGTCAGTGGCCTCTTCATGTTCTCCCCACACCCTGAGTTGCCAACTAGGGGCTTAATTGAACCCAATGGTTGGCAGTTATAGATCCTGATAGTAAGATTTTCTTACTTTGCCACTTACCTAACGATATGTAACCTGAGAAATTTGCTTAGTTCTCCATTTGCTGAGCTTGGTCCAAGTAAAGCTAGGCCTTATCTATTTGGGTTGCTTATAAATGAGGCAGCTAATGAGTTAACAGCACTGCATACTGCACTGAGAGCATGTGGAATATCCATGTCTATACTTTTTCTTTAACCAATTACAGGTGTGAAAGGCATGATGAGGATAATGAGCATGCTTTATTCAATATTTTCAATCTATAAGTAAAAGCTCTCAAGGCAACATACACCTGTAACAAGAACAATGATAATTTATAAATAATCTTCAAATGCCACATAAATACTAAAACAAATATTAAAGGAACTAAAACATGGGAAGGGATACTTTAAAAAATTCTTTAGACATATAATTAAAAAATAAATAGCAATAAAAACTTGGTCTGAGAGAATAAGAAGGCCTTTGCCTGGACCTGAAAAGTCTACAAAGTAGCTGACAATGTTCTAAGGAGACCTTATCTCAGTTTGAGGGCCAATAGAAAAAAGGCCCACTAATGTGAAGCTTCCTGCCAAATCACAGGATGAGACACTCAGAACATGGCTTCAGATGGTGATTTCAATAGACAGGTAGAAATATAAGCGAAATTGTTTTCCTTTAGACACTGTAGTTCCAGTA